CCCCCAAAACCCCAAAACCCCAAAACCCCAAATTTAACCACTCAAATAGATTTGTATAATATTAATATTTCGTGTTTAATGGGACAAGGAGAATCGATTGAGTAACTAGACATCTTATCATATAGAGGAGAGGGCGACCAGAGCGGTAAGAAGATGTGCTACTACGAGATGCTTCAGCTAGAAAAAGACTGCACTCAGGAACAGATAGATAAGGCTTATAAGAAAGCAGCACTTAAGTTACACCCTGATAAAAATAGGGATAGAGATACTACTCATCTTTTCCAAGCTTGTCAGGAAGCATATACTATTCTGAGTGATCCACATGAAAGACAGTGGTATGATGACCATCGTGAACAGATCCTTAGCGGTATTGACCCTGAGGCTGCGAAGGAAGAGGACTCTTCCATGATAACTCCTCAGGACCTGATCAAATATGTCGACCCTCATTGCTACCCTGGAGGTTTTGATATTAACAACAAAGATAATTTTTACCAAGTATATCGTGAGCTGTTCATCCAAATCGATAAGGAAGAGGAACTGGAGGAAGATATAGGCACTGATCATATTCTTGCTCCAAACTTCGGTGATTCAGGCACCTACATCGAAGACGTGCATGCTTTCTACAGATTCTGGGAGGTTTTCAGCACCAAGAAGGAATTCACCTACGCTGATAAGTACAACACCAAGGATGCTCAGAATGGCCGTGAGCGAAGATTCGTCAAGGCCGAGAACCGTAAGGAGAGACAAATCGAGAAGAAGAAGTTCAACCAGAGCTGCAGAGATGTCCTCGAATTCATCCGTAAAAGAGATCCTAGGATTATCAAGTACAAGAAGGAAAAGGAAGAGGAAAAAGCAAGGAAGAAAGCAATCGAAGCTGAGAAAAAGAGAAAGCTTGAAGAAGCCCACCAGAAGAGGAGAGAGGAATACAGGGAGAAACTCAGGCAAGAATACGAGCAAATGGAAGAGGAGATGGAAGAAGTAGTCGAGATCCAGAACACCATCATCTGTGAGATATGTAATAAGAACTTCAAGACTGAAGGAGCCTTTAATAACCATATTCGGTCAAAGAAGCATAAGCAGAAAGTCGCACAATTCGCAAAGGTAAAGGTAGAGTGATAGCTTTAGGCATCCGATAAGTCGATAAAGCAAGTGAATGATGAGCAGTTGGTCAAGCTGAATGAAGAAATAGAGAAGAAAGAAGAGGAAAAGCAAGAGGAAGTAACTAAGGAAATTCAAGAGGAGTTTGTTAATGAGGAATATGAGCGTCAGAAGCAGAAGAAACTTAAGAAAAAGCAAAAGAAGAAACAGAAACAAATGGTAAATTTTTGTTTTAAGTATATATCTTAGGCCAAAATGCAGTACGATTCCGAAGATGAAGCCAATTTTGAAAAAGCCGAACAAGATGATGAAGATGCCGAAGCTGAAGGCGAAGCCAACGATAGCGACGAAGGTGCCGAAGGTGAGGAATCCGAACAAGAAGAGGAAGAAGAAGTATACGTTAGTAGGAACAAAGTACGCTTCTTGACATAACACTACAGCAAAAAGCATCTAAGAAGAACAAGAAAAAGTCCAAAGCCAATCAGGAGGAAGAGAAAAAGACTGAGGAAGTCAGCCAAGCCAAGCCTGGTAAAAGTAAGCTTGCTTTATCCAACTCCATAGAGAAGAAAAACAGGAAGAAGAAGCAAGTGTACGTAAACCAAATGAAAACAAACGATGAGGACGCTGAAGAGTCAAAGGACGGCACTGAGGGTGAAGAAATCCCAAAGAAAAAGCGCCGCAGAAGGGCTAAGAAAGGTAAGCTCCTTGTCTCAGTCTCTAGACAAGCAAGCCGATGACGGCGACGAGGCAGAAAAGAAGCCAGAGTTCTTATGAAGAGTCTGTAACAACAAGTTCGTGACGAAGAATAAGTTGCATAAACATCTGAAGCAAAGCGGTCATTCGAAGGGAAATTAAGAATTTTAAGTGAGATTTCAGTATTTTTAAAGGATTTAGGGGTTTTGGGGTTTTGGGGTTTTGGGGTTTTGGGGTTTTGGGG